ACACACACAAAACTGTACACCTGGGGTTCGATGCAATAGCCGACGACCACCTGTCCCATCGCTGCTTGGCTCTCGAACTACGTTGCGTCTTCCTTTTTTCTGTGGTTCGTTGTTTCGAGGAGCAACCGTTCTCGTAACCGTAGAACGTAGTAATGCTGCTCCACGAGACCTTCCCATCCACTTGGCCAAGGACTATATCGCCAGAGATTCAAGGTGGTCCAAAGTGGTCTCCTTCCACGAGAAGAAAGCAATATCGTTTCAGTTCAGCAGTTCTGGATTTAGCCGTGGTCTTGGCGCCCCTTGGCCATTGTGCAATCCACAAGTGCAGCACCATACCCTTGTCTTCCCCCGACACTCGCCCTGCCTCTCCCACCCGCCACCCTCTCTCACACACAGGCAAGACGACGTACCTAGATAGGATCCAAGTCTGCTTCGAGCAGGACATAGATCTGAGAAGAAGCTTTTCTCGGTAGCGACGCTGGAAGTAACGTACTGGTCCCACGCGAAGTCCCACTCGGCCTCCCCGCCCTCGGCGATGGCGCGACAGAACACCACAGGTTTAAGGTTTGGCGAAATGATGCTGAAATTTTACACTGATAAATCTGGATATCATTATATTCCTTTGGATAGAGTATCTAGTCCTTATTAATTTGGTATGACAGAAGGTTTGATAGTAGTAATTATAATGATAATTAAAAAGTAGAATAACCTACTGTTACAACCACTAATGAAGGTAAAATTATCGATAATGATAATCCGAGATCAATAAAACATCACAATCATACTGATCCAAAAAAGTGTATACACTGTCCCGATACGACATACACCGCGCTACACCTACCTCGAATTGTCCGGCTGTGACATCCAGTGCCTGTAGAGAGTGAGCGCTTTCTCGAGGCAGTCCTTGTGGCCCAGTCTGCAAGCCCATGTCACGGCTATTTTCCTCTTTTTTTGCTCCAAGAAAGAGTCCTCGATGTTGTCGAACCCAACGGACTCGTAGAGCGGCAACACCAAATCCAGGAGGTAACACTGGAAAGAAAAGAATGTTCATATACGCGTATGTATGTGTATACATACATACATATATATTCATATACATATATATATTATATATATATAGATAGATATAGATATTACATACATATATGTATATATACATTTATATTCTGGTAAATAAATGATCAAACAATTCGGCATATCGGTTGCGGTTTCATCGCAGGCAAGTAAAACTCCGTGTGAGCCTCCGAGCCTCACCTTGAGAGCGCCGAATCACTTCTGCGTCTGAACATACTCTCTATGTAAACGAATTTCCTGGCGCCTGTAGCCCAAGGCAGATATTCTCCTTCATTTCGCAGATACAGTAAAACGTCCAGGGCGAGCTTGTAGCTGAGATGACCTGAATGGAAGGTATCCATTTTTGCTAATCAAAAATTACGAAATCATAAAATGATTTCATTACTAATTTTGGAACACGCATATATTTTAACTCATCAAAAATACACGTTCACTCCCTGTACGTTAGTGTATGAAAATATGACGTTCTTGAGTAATACAGACAAGAAAATCATAGTAACTCTTGAATATCCATATATGCATAGAAAACAGCTATATAATTCCTTAGTAGAAGAAAGAAATACTATTAAAAAGATAAAGATTACTGTACCAGCCCTAGCAAGGTTCATGGCATCATCGACAATCTGCCCTCTGTTGATGGGGCAAATAACCTGGTGGTCCTTCTTCAGCTGCTGGATGATAAGATTCCAGTTGTGGTCGTCGTAGTTGACTCGGTAGTAGGCCGCCTGCTGCAGGTTGAAGATGACCCACTGGTCCTTCGGGGGAAGAGAAGAGACGGTGACGTGATCCTCAGAGTCCTTCATCCATAAACTGGCTTGAGTCTGGCTGAAGTTGGCCTCGCTCTGGGTCGTGAAGGTCAGAGGCACCCACCACTTGTAATCCGTGGTGCTGGAAGAGTTTGCGCTCCCTTCTAAGAGGAACCGCTCCTGGAAATTAAGGCGGGGTATATATAGGGCCAAATGATATGTTTACTGAATATGTTTCCTCCCTCCATCAAGTCATTAAGTACAAACTCACCTGTGTCAAAGTAGCAGAGGTTCCGTCGGGGCTCCTTGTCACCTTCACGACGGGGTATCCCATCTGCAGCGTCCACGTGTCCATGATCATCTTCACAGTCACCTCCTGGGGCAGAATGCCGTCCTCGTGAGCCGCCAGAGTCAGATGCTTCCACAGGTCGTCTTGCACAGAACTATTGTATGTGCTACATGAAAATGGACATATATTCAGGATCATAATATATAGAGCGAGACTTGAGAATTGCAAAGTAGCACAATATAAATTTCAAACCTTTAAGCTGAGTCATTATTACATCCAATTAGTATTACATGTCATAAGGTACACTTATATTAGCATATTTACAGTGCTTTTAGATAGTTGTTCAATCCCTTTCTAAAGGTCGGCTCTGTGAGGTAGTGGGTCATCATCCGGATGATAGACGCTCCTAGATCATTGTAGAAAGAAAATATTATAGATAAGCAATGAGATGGACAAAGAAATACCATAAAAACCAAAACAATGAAGAAAAAATACCGACCTTTATTGTAAGATATGTCATCAAAGACTTCGAATATTTCGTCCGGGTTTGAGACGGGAATGTTGATCCTGTGGGAGGACTCCAGGCTGTCTAGATCGAACACACGATGGACTATTTCAACGACGATTTCTTCCATTGCCTTCCACGTTGGTTCCACCTTTTGAGCATAAGCAAAATAAGTATATGTTTTGCATTTGTTTTATTTACTTTTATATATTATTGCATTTATTATGAATATCATGTCAAGTAACTTACATGATCTACTCCAAGGTAACTTATATAAGTAGCGAATCCTTCGTTGAGCCACAAGTCGTCCCACCACTTAGGCGTCACCAGATTGCCAAACCACTGGTGAGCCAACTCATGAGATAAAATATTTGCAATAACTGCCTTATCGGCAGGGGTTGAAACTTGTGGGTCGTACAACAAGAAGCTTTCTCTGAAAAAGAGTTAGAATTAATAGTAAGAACTCTGTCATAGCTAGAAATAGGTTGTGCATGCTGTGAGCAATAAGGTTACATGAGATTTATTTAATAGAGCGATATACAGCCTTCAGAGCTCAGCCAATTCTACAACTATGGCTTCTTTTTGTCTTAAACTTCACACACAACCCTTATATCCTTATTCTCGACCCTTTCTCTGTATACAAATATATCACTGATCCCGGCTCCTGAGTAAAATGGGTTATAATATTTAAAACAATACATGATGGTGCTGTAATACCAGACCTCTGTGCTAATGTCACTGACTTACCTGAAAGTTATTAGACCCCAGTTCTCCATACCTCCAAAAGAGAGGTCGGTTAATGCAATCATGTCCATCTTCGGGAGGGGATAAGATAGGTTGAAATAATCTTCAAAGAAACACAAGATCTTGGGACCTATCTCATTTGCATATTCTGCTTGATCTATGGTCTCTTGTCGTGCCCACACTGCCAGAGAATTTTTCTGGTTAGAATGTTAAGCACAGTCACCCCTGATCATGCCTTTTTGCACATGCTCACGGTCATGCCTAATGAAAACTAATTATAATTCTTTATAATATATCAGTAGAGTGATAAATCTGACAACAATTATGTTTTTTCACAAGAACATATGCATGAAAGGTATTCGCTTTCTATCTGTCTTGCTCACTCACTCAGAAACACAAATTAACACTGATGAACCTAGCTTCGATAAAATGTCATTACCTCGAAAATCTACACGGTCATTCTCGTCGAGTGATATGAACGTAGTCGGACGACGAAGGCAACCAGGTAAGTGGACATAGGGACACTCTTCTCGTAACGATCCCACATCCATCCCTCCTGTCCTTCACTGTTGGATTACAAATTCAGTTTAATCAAAAGATGCATTGGAAGGTATTAAGACATTTATCTAAAACTATAGAATAACATTTTGTATCATGAAGTGACTACTCACAGGCACCTTGCCATACATTTTAGTGTTCATCCAAGAATTCAAATTGAGTGAAATTTAAAGGTTGCCTTGGGCTGGAAAGGTCGCAAGCCGCATTTAATTATAAATTATGCAAATATAATATTATAGTATATATATAAATTATACAATACAGGATATTTATGAGTTACTATCAACATCCTTGTAGGTCGCTCTGTAAGACAGAGCATATATTAAGATATAAAAGGAACTCATGGAAGTATGTTTTTTTCCCTTCTGGATCTTTTAAAATATACCATGGTATCATGACGTCTTCTTGATAAAAGTTTGATCTTACCTTAAATGAAAAATAATTGAAAATTTAATCAAAACTAAGGAAAAAGAAAAGTTTGTTTAACATTAAGTCTTGTTCAAAATGCCCTTTATTACATTATGTACAAACCTATATATAATTATTATATAATTATTTAAATTTATATATAATTATATAGTTATGAGTGGTTTCCAAATATATCCATAATAGCCGACGATGCTGAATTGTGATGAAATTTGAACATATATTAATGGAATGATGTTAAAGTCTACAGGTCCCAATGATCTAATGCTTCTGTTTAAAATAATATAGGTGATTGGTTTCATTTGTAAGTATTAAACATTTACATAATCAATAAACATCAATACCAAATATTGCTGATATAGATCATTCAAGTTATTTACATATTATTTATAATGTTTTTAGTTATATAACATATCTATGTTATATAATATATATATATATAATATATATATATATATATATATATATATATACATATATAATATATATATAATGTATATTACATATGTATATATATATATATATATATATATATATAATATATAATTATATATAATATATATATTACAATATATAATATTAATAAATATTATATATAATATATATATATATATAATATATATATATATATATATATATATTATATAATATATATATT